GCGAACTGGCCAAGGCCTGAATCCACATCTTTGGACTCCTGTTAACTATGTCAGGGGCTCTCTCAGTTTCACCATGTTGTTCCCTTGGAAAGCAGCAGTCAGGGTGAGGGTGGCCTGTATGCACCTGGGGAACAGGGCAGATGGGAGAGGTGGATAATGTCAGGAAGCCCAGACTGGGATGGTGCATTCATTTATTAATTCAGTCAGACAATGTTTCTAGAGTGTTCATTATGCACTGGGCATTGGAATTGCAACTGATGACTATTCTTCAGAGACAGAGAGTAAAACTGTAAGGGAAAATCCCTTTAAACACAGAATAATTGTGCTCTATGGTCAAGGCAGCTGATGGGATGAGAACATAGACTAGACAAAGCCTAAACCCAAACCACCAAGAGGGTGGTTTGGTTAAAGCCATAGCGCTGGGCCCCACCCTGGAGCCCTGAGTGGTGGGCAGGGCTCGAGAATTTGCATTTCTTCCGAACTTTGGAGTGAGAGTTCTCCAGGGCTGCAGGTGAGAATGGTTTTTAGACTAGGCAAATTCCTCCATCTTGCAGATTCGAACTGGGGAGAGCATGTAGTTTTAGGCACTCATTTGCGTTATGATCGCCCTGTCCCTCAGAAAAATAATTCTGTAGGATACACCATCCAGTTTGGAGTCTCCCCATAGATCCATGGCTGTGCAGGGTAAAATTGCAAAATCTTGGGTATGGAAGAGACCTTGGTCCCACTCCATTCGTGGCTGAGATTAGTATGGAGTAAGGCTGCGAATGGACTCTTCTCCCAGTGTTCTTTCCAAGTACATCACCACCCTCTCCTTCTAGCCCCTCTGTTCCCCTGGGACTTCCTAGGCAGTTATGCCCTAAGCAGTTTCGTTGTTCCTATGCCCTGCCGCCCCCAAGTGCTGCAGGCAGCCAGGGAAGGGTTAACGTTGGTTGGACTGGAGGCCCGAGCCAAGTACAGAGTGTCCATTGTGTGCCCGCCCTTTCTGGGGGAGTTGCCGACTGCTGGAATGTGACAAGGCAGAAGGTTTTCACCTTGCTGGCTTCCCGTCCTCAGTGAGTGCCCCTGCTCACACCCCATGCTGCTCACACCCCATGCTGGCAGGGGTGCGCCCAAGGGGGTGCGCTGCTGTCTCCCAGGCTCACCAGCAAATGGAACTGTGAATTTGGGATGGCAGGTGCCTGTTGGCAGAAGGCAAAGAGAGAACAACAGCTTTGTGTGCTGGTGAAGTAAACAGACAGGTCAGGTTTCTCTGCTCTTTGCTTTTGAAAGCTTCTTTTGATTTTCCTAAGGTGAGGGGCGCATGTGGACACGAGGGACTGGATTATAATCCTCAGCATAGGCAGGGGCCGCCTGGGTGGGTGGAGCTGCAGTTGGAGTAGTTGGAGCCACAGGACTTGGAAGAACTGTCACGGGGCTAATTCATTTTCATGGAGAAAGAATTTGAGGTCCTCCAAGTGCCCAGTCTTGCACTGGGTGCTCAAGTGAATAGGAGTTGTGCAGTCCCGGTCAGTCTCAGCCTGAAACTGAAGTGCAGTCCAGTAAGGGAAATAAGATTTGTGTTCTCAGACCGGTGAGAAGACAAGGCAAGACTGTGGCTGGGTGCACAGAGTTTACAAAATATGGTCACGAAGAAGGGAAGACTCGGGCATGACCACGAAATATGGGAAGGATCAGGATCTGTTATTTTGTTTGTTTTTTGTTTTCATTCATCCCTCCACGCGGCAGATGTTTGGCGAGCTGCAGTTGTATGAGAGGCATTGCATGGATTGATGGGAAGGGATATAAGGAAAGAGTCTACCAAGGCAGAAATAATTCTGTGTGTATAACGCCACTGTGGAAACTGGTGTGACTTGAATGGGGAATGGTGACTAATGAGCCCTAAGACTGGATTCTTCAGGGGAAACCAGTATGAAAAGTCTGGAATTGATGTGTTCTTGAATATTGAGATGATCTGAGACTGCTTCGTCCTCAGTATTTGCCCTGTCATACTCTTGCCGCTCTGCTTCAGGTCCTCATGCAAAAGGAATGGCATTTCAGCCGAGCCTCTTATGACCCCCTGCCTCTGGTATCCGACTCTATTAATTCATCCCTCACATCACATACTAGAATTATCTTCCTAAAGCATAGACTTCACAGCATCCCTTCCCTGGTACATCCCATAAATGGGTTTCCCCATTACATGTAAGATAAAATCCAACTAATTAGCATGACGTTCAGTGATGTCCATGATCTGGCTCTGACCTTTCATCTCCAGCCATGCCTCTCGCCAGTCCCCATGGTGCACACGCCTCTTAGCCAAACCTCCCCTTTCTCTTCCCAGAACCTTGCATGCTCCTGCCCCAGGCCCTGCCTCACCTCGTGCTGTTCCTTCTTCCTGCCGCATCCCCCTTCTGCTCACTCTACCTAGCGAAGCCCCTCAAGGTCAAAGCCATAGCCTGTGCTCTCCTCGAAGACTTGACTTCCGTGGTCGTTTCCCATCTGTCTGTCTACACCTTGCCAAGTGGAAAGCACGCTCTCTTCCCTTTGTTTCTATCCTTTATTATAGGACATAGAAAAATCTGTTCTGTTATTATTATTATTATTTTCAAGTCACTCTTAAAAGTATAACCTCCTTGAGGAAAGAGATTGCATTTTGTGTCAGAATCTTTACTCGTGGAGAACTGAAAAAAAAAAAAAAAATGTTGAGTTTTTCCTTGTTATGTATTTCTTAGTGCTTGAGTTTTAACTTTTGAAACTTTGTCTTCTACATCAATTAGTTAATTATTTATACCATTAAATATATGAAACTCTAAAGTGAGTCTCTTTTTCATGGAAGATACTTTATTAGTATGAATGATACATCCGCTTATACATCTAATCACGCCTCTAAAGTTTAGATTCCACCTTCTTTTCTCTCGTCATTGAACCTGTAGTACACTTTGTCCTGTCTGTGGCTCCAAGGTCCAAATAAGTTTAGGGTAGAAATGTTTTATGGGGATGTGCCTCACCTTTGGCCCTAATGCAGGGGTAGCCTCATAGGTAAGTACCAAGGAATTAAAATGCAACATTGTTGATTCCTGCTAGAGGGAGTGAACCACTGAAGACTTCTGTGATAAGAAAACATGCCTTGCAAACTGTATGACCTCGGATACAAGCTGAGAAAGACGTACTGGTCTCTTACTGCTTGGCCAGCAGGGACATGTCCTAGGGCATCTTGATGCCTCCAGCAGCTAGTGTGGTACCTGTGCTAGGAAGAGAGGCCTCAATGAATGTTGACTTCAGTATGACTTTTTGAAAGTATGAAGATTTTAGGCAAGTAGGCATCCACCTAGATGAGACAAAGAATCATATAAGTAAAAGAAACATCAAGTGTCATCTGGCCTGACTGCCCTTCAGGGATCCTACGTGGGGACTTGGTCCCTTTTGCAGCATGGGGCGAGGGTGGCCGTTCAGTGTTTGATTGACAGCTTCAGCAGAGACGCTCATGTTCTCACTAGGCAGCTTCTTCTCTCCCAGAAATGCTGTATTCATTGGGTTTGCCCGGAGGAGAAGCAGTTGTAAATGTGTCTTTCTCCTGGTCTGAGCAGCTTCCAGGAGCTGAGGGTGTTCCTGGGCGGCTCTGGGGAACGGGTCCGTGTGGAGGCCCTTGCTGGCCGGCTTCTTCCCAGGGTCCCAGCTGCAAATGCACGGATTCCAGAGGGAGATCATTCACGCCCTGACTTCAGGTTCCAGTTCTGGGCTGTTCTGAATGTATCTTTGCAGACATTGGTGGGACAGTATGGTGGGCGCATTTGCCGACCAGTTCCTTGAATCAGTGGGCTCAGTGATAGAAACCGAAGGTGTGTGGTGATGGCTTCTGCTGGGAACCTTAGAGAGCATCCGGCCATTAAGAAGGCCCGGGTGTGATCTCGCCTACAGCCTCAGGGCGGAAGGAGAGGGTGTCTTGAAGTTTGGTGCAGCCCCAGGGTTCTAGGGTTACTCTTGAGAATGAGTGTTTGGGCTTCCTTTGGGGCTTTGCAAATGATGCGTATGAAACTGGGAATAATGGGACATGGAGTGAATAAGGGTCCAAGGTATTTGAGCTGATTCTTCAGTGTTCTGGAGAAAGCTAAACTGATTTTCCTCTTTTCCTTGTGAGGAAGGCAGAAGCAAAGGTCCTGGGGGTGCAGGATCAGAGGTGGTTCCTGACACCTCCCAAGGCCAGTGCAGAGCTACCCTCTCTCCCTTTTACTTTTTTGTTGTCATGTAGACATAATGACATTTTATTTAAGGGCCACCAAGGGACTTAAACCTCTCCCTAATGGCTATTTTTATCTCAGTAATTTATGATTAAATATCTTTTATGCAATGGAAACATTTGTAGGGTTGATTTTTTAATTTTTTTTTGTTTGTTTTCATGCTTGTGCCTAAGCTTTACACTTGCTTTAAGAAATCGATAAGCCGCTTGCATAATTAAAATAATTCAGAATGAAAAGTGATACGGAAAAGACTGGTCAAGACCTTGGCTAACTGTCCTTCCTCCAGGGGGCTGGAGAGCTTGGCCCAGGCAACTCAGGAGTTGTGTTCAGCTCTGCAAACTGTTTTTCTTATGTGAGGGAAGGTGGTGCATGAAGCCAACCAGAAACTGTTCCCACAGACTTGAGCATCAACGCTTCAGACTTCCCTTTCGTCACGGTCGGTTCTGATGGTGACTCAGCCAGCTGTGGTTTCAGTTTCAGAAACTTCTAGCTGGTTACAGGACGGGAGGACTTCCTCTCTTATTTTTGCTGGGTCCATGGCCATAAAAATAACATAACATCAAAACAACAATTCGACGAAGGGTGTGTGTTGGGGTGCGCTTCCCCCTCCGCTCCAGTTTATTTCGTTGTGGGGATGTGCACCCTCTGATTTTATTTCTTGACATCATTTTTTTTTTCTGATGCCATTGATAAGTGGGAATGGGCTTCAGGAATGTAGGCTAAGTTACCTGCGAGGTTATTTTCCTTCCTGCCATGGCTAATTATCTCTCTGCTTCTCAGTTGCAGATCTGATCTCTTCTGAGCACCCCACCGTGTCTCCATCCTTGGGACTCTGAACCCAGCAGCTGGACCACTTCGTCCTTGGAATTTTGGGTGTCCTCTCTGCTCACCTCCCCTTTCTCCCTTTTCCCTTCCCCCTCCTGAGAACTCCTGAAGACTATAGGATTGTCATGGAGTCCAGGGAAATCTTAAGCAGCTCCCGGCAAAGGGGGAGCGAGTCGGATTTCCTGCCCGTCTCTGCAGCCAAGCCCCCGACTGCTCCCGGCTGTGCAGGGGAATCTCTGCTCTCGGCCCCAGGCACTGGCAAGGGGATCCCAGTGGCTGGAGAACGCATGGAGCCAGAGGAGGAGGATGAACTGGGCTCAGGGCGGGATGTGGATTCCAACTCCAATGCGGACAGCGAGAAGTGGGTGGCAGGAGATGGCCTGGAAGAACAGGAGTTTTCTATCAAGGAGGCGAACTTCACGGAGGGGAGTCTGAAGCTGAAGATTCAGACCACGAAGCGGGCTAAGAAACCCCCGAAGAACCTGGAGAACTATATATGCCCACCTGAGATCAAGATCACCATCAAGCAGTCTGGGGACCAGAAGGTGTCTCGTGCTGGGAAAAATAGCAAAGCGACAAAAGAGGAGGAAAGAAGCCACTCCAAAAAGAAGGTAGGGAGCCCTATTGTGTGGGACTTTTGTTTGCTTTTGCCATTTTATCCTCAGGTTTTAAGGGTCTGTGTATTTATTTCTTATTTGCACTCAGTCCTTACTTAACATCATCAGTAGGTTCTGCGACCTGAAATGAAACGAAGAGACGAAACCAGCGGCATCAGAGGCTAATTGATACAAATAAGAGTTAAGTTCCTATGGCATCGTATCAATGTTCTAATGAAACAGTGTTGGACTAAATGTCTTGGCGCAGGACCTGCTGCTGTATTTCTGAATTACCAGGTTCCCTGATGGAACACTTAGGGCCTCCGGAAGAAAAGCCTCTGATACCTTGGTATAGTGACCGATTACCTTTATGTATTGTATCTTCTGCTCACCTGAAGAACAGTAGCTCCTAGAATTAGAAGTCTGGAGCGGTTCTAGTTATTGTGTGGCAGCTAATTGGCTGGGTCAGATCTGGCTGAGCTGTGGGGGCCGTTTTCTTGCTTTAATATTTGTATCTGTTCTCACAGTCAAAGAGTGGGGTATTGGTCAATCAAAACAGTCGAGAACCATTATACGCTTTTGGTTTCAATCACTCCTGTACATCTTTCTAACATAGTGAGTCTTTCTCTTGACTAGGAGACCCAGTTTTGGAGTAACTTGAGGCTCTGAACGAGCTGAGAGATCATTACTCCGAAAGCCAGTGGTGAGCGTTAGAACTGGGACTGGACAAAGGAAAGGGGCAGGTGACTGACCTGAATCTTTGTCTAACACATCATGGACTTTTAAGGTTGGGTCTTGAATGAACTTGGAAGACAAACGTGGGTGCAGAAAGCAGCTCTCTAGGTGATTGGAGGTGTCATTTGGTTGGGGAAGACTGCATCTGGTTTCATTGTATTATTTTGTAGCGCAGGGGTTTACAGTGACCCCTCTTCCTGGGAGGGGTGTGGCCCTCAGCTGTGGTAGCAGAGGACTGTCCTAGTCCAGAAAGTTTCTGTTTCAAACAGTCGTGGGGACTGGTGCCCAGCTCGGACAGAAGTCCTTTTGTTGCCAAAGTTTTGAGGCTTTAGGTTGTAGGTGTTAATCAGTCTTTGTAACTCTTTCCCCCACATCTTATCACTTACCTGAGCTCTAGCCTTGATGGACCACCTAAAAATGGCACATATTAAGGAACCTCTCACCTTTGAAGCCCATAAATAATTTGTTGAGTTTCTGTTGACAGTCGTTGTTGAGCTTTGGAGTCATCATTTCCAGTACAACACTTGGGAATCATGTTCTTTCTTTAGTGTAGGGCTTGTGTCCTTCCTCATGCTAGGCGTTGGGCCTGATTTGTTGCGTTTAAAATCCAAAGACTTGAACTAGAAGGGACAAGAACATGACCAATGCCTCCCCGTTGGCTCAGACTCTCCTAGTTTGAAAAGTGAAAATCCAGCATCCAAGAACCCCCATCTCCTGGGCAAGCTGGGGCAGTTAGTGGGTCACCTTACTTAAACATTTGGAACACAAAGGAATCTTTTCAGTTGCCTGGCTTTTACAAAGCATCCAGGTAGTGCCTTTCCCTTCTCCCTCTCCATCACAACTTTGTGCACTCTGCTTCTGTGTTATAAAACCAACAATTATCTAGCTGCACATGGAAACTGTTGAGGAATCCTGCAAGTAAATGCAACAGCTCAAAGCAGACTCCATGTAGAAAGGGAGGATTTGCTTTGCAGTTGGGTCTCTTCAGCTTTGAAAATGAGTATCTTTGTCCCTGCCCATGGTGATGGCCAGTTTTTTGTGTGTTGTTGGATTTTTGTGTGGGTCGGAGTCTTGAAAATGTTGGTAACTATTTTCCCTCCATCCCCATCATTCCCAGGATTTGAGCAGCAGACGACAGTTTTGTGTTCGCAAACCCAAATTTACTATCCTATAAATAGATACTTTGTGCAGGTACTGTTTTCTCTAAAACCACAAGAGTGTTTCCAAATATAGCCTTCTGTCTATTGGAATGCCCTAGAATAAAACTCTGGAATCTGTGACGTGGGGATGATTTACAAAGTTGAAATGTGCAGTGGACCTTTGTTCTCATATCTGAAATTCTCAGGCTGTCATTCTCACCCAGAAAGCTGGATGCTCTTTGTGTATTTTATTGGAAGGAGAGGTGAAATCATCTACTTAAATATGTGGCTTGCCAAGTTAGTGTTTCTAAGCCCTAGCAATTGGAGGGAGCAGAGAAGGGGAAGGGCTGGAAGTCAATGCATTACGCTGACCCTGGCACGGGAATATCTACAAAAACGTTGACTTGTTAGGAGCTCACTTCATGTTGCACTTCTCCGTCCTTCCTGCATTTATTTGTGCCTTAGCCTTGCTACTGTCCAGAAGGGAGTGAATAAAGGTATTAGTGCTGAGTCTTAATCACTTGGTAGATGATGGGAAACTTCTCTGATCTCTGTTGGATTAGAATGTTATCTCTATTACTCTTCAGGTTCCTGTTGTTTTGCATAGAGGGAGTAAACAAAAGCTGAAGTGAGGTGGAGCGGGGCACACCTGGCCCACCCTTTGTATAGAGAAGTTCAGTGTTATGCCCTACGAACTTGCAGACTTTACCTATTTGTACGACTGGGAAGTATGTGATCAGTAATTCAGGGTAGAGAACAGGCTGAGGATGGCATTTTCTGAGCAACAAGTCTAGCTCTGAAATCCAGTTTTCTGGAACTGTTTTATCAGGCAAGCCACTGATTAAAGAAGAGTGCATGGAGTGGACCCTGGGACTCAGGACCTACGCTCGGAGGCAGAAAGGAGGAGGCCCCGTTGAATGGGTCTTTGAGCTGGTGCAGAGGCCAGCTGAGTATCTGTGCTGACTTAGAGCAGGGTCAGCAGATTGAAGTCCATGGGCCAAGTCCAGCCCCCTGCCTGTTTGTATACAGCCCACAAGCAAAGGATGGTTGGGGGAAAAATCAAAAGAATACTATTTTGCAACATGAAAATTTTATGAAATTCAAATTTCAGTGTCCATAAATACAGTGTTTTTGGAAAAGAGCCACATCCATTTGTTTACATTTTGTCTGCGATTGTGTTTGCACTGTAACAGCAGAGACGAGTGGTTGTGACAGAGATGGCATGGCCCACGGAGCTTAAACTAGTCCCTGTCTGGCCCTGGCCAGACAAAAGAAGCGTCGGCCCTTGACTCGGGGAAGGGATATAGAGTTTCAGGATAACAAGGATTTTGTTTTTGGTTGTTAATGATTCAGCCTCCAATTTTTTTCTGTCTCTTTTTTGCAGACCAATTAATTTTGTTCAAGTCACTGTTTGACAGCCTTGGGCAAAGACAGCTTACATCGGATCCTGATGATTTTCTTTTTCACTGGTTTTTGTAAAAAGACTGCTCTGTAGGATAATGATAGACTTCCTTGCATATCACTGTGAGGGTCTCTCTGCTCGGTTAACTATTTCTACACGTTCTACTGCGTTGGGGTGAGGAGTTACACGTGTGGCATTCTCAAGAGCTTTATTCCGAATTTCAAACGTAGGACCCATCCTCCGGACTGAAGAGGCATCGTGGATGTCCAGGCAACACGGCCACTTTAGTGGTAGGATGTTAGGAGAGACCCATGCAAATACCACCTCGAACCTAGTTGGTGTGGCTCAGTGGTTGAGCGTCGACCCATGCACCAAGAAGTCGCCAGTTTGTTTGCCAGTCAGGGCACATGCCCAGGTTGTGGGTCCAGTTCCCAGTGGGGGGCATGCAGGAGGCGGCCAATCGATGCTCTCTCTCATTGATATTTCCATCTCTCTCTTCTTCTCCGTTCTTCTCCCTCTAAAATCAATAAAGAAAAATAAAAAGAAAACCTCTCATTAAAGAAAAATAATAATAATGCCACCTCATTGGTTCAACAGTGCATGGATTCTTCTAACCAGGGGACAGATCACCTGCCTTCCATATAAAGTTAGGATGCAACCACGATGCTCTCTGGAAGAGGGTTTATGGTGAATGGACTTACATGAGGTGTAAGAGCAGCATTTGGTAAGAGCTAGAGGATGAGAGGAGGGCTCCGAACATCAGGGCATCAGGACTGTCCTTTGGACCAGTCCTGTTTGCAGATGGACTCCATGAATGCACCTTGCTCTTTGTCACCGCATGAACAACGTTGCATCTTAGACTTACTCTGGTAAACAGTGTAATAACTTCCGCTTCCTCCAGTTCCCTAGGCTACTCAATGAGAACAACGGAGAATGTATCTCTAGAAGCAAGTTCAGGTACAACACATAGACATAAAATGTTACAACAGTGGTAGGTGTTTAGGAGACACTCAGCTGGGTGCAGCTTAACTGCTTTCCTCTTTCCTGAGGACTTTCAGTGGGAGCCAGAGACACCTGTCTGCGTTCAACAGCATGAGGAGAGGAGGGTCCTGAGGAGCTCCATGCAGTGCCCCGGGGAGGGGATGGGGTGTGCTAACGGGCGCCAACTGGCTTTGTGATTTTGAATTCCCGCTTAACCTTGCTGAATTCCCGCTTTCCTCATCTGTCAAAGAGAGAGGCTGATTTCCACATGCTGTAACTCAATGAGAGATTTTAGGAGGAAAATGGGCAATTTACAGAACACACATCATAATCAATATTTTGATTTGTTGAACGAAGTCACAGACCTTCTGCCAGCCGTTTTACATGGATTCACCTCTTTTATGCGACAGGTATTACTTATTTACAGGTGAGGAAGTGGAAGCTCAGTTGCTTCCAAGAAGCAGGAGCAGGAGTTGGGCAGGGTGGTCTTTGAAGTTAATTCTCTTAGATGCCAAAGCTAATGCTGCGTCTCCGTCCTTCAGTGACCACACTTGAACGCAATGTTCTACATCCTTTTCCATCTCATGGCACACAAGCTAATCGCTGTAATTCTACCGCACACCAAAAAATATATTATATTTTTTGCAGATCTGACCAAAAAAACCAAAAATGGTATCATTTTGATTCAGTCACAGCAGACGACTGTTGTGTTTGCTGTTGTCATTATTTTATTTGACAATCTAAGGGAAGAGAGGTCA